TTTTTTGTTATAGATGTTCAAAGATTATTTAAGAAACCATGCTTTGGTGCATTAGAAGCCGATAAAAGCCCATTAAACTTGAGTCATTGTCAACGAAAAACAGCAAATGAAATTCAAATATTAGAGGTTAAACCACAGCTCGCTCGGAAATCAAAAAATTCTCTTTGGACTTGTTTTAAAGAAAAAACCTTTTTGTACGTAAAATTTTAATTTAAAAATAAATAATCAATTTAATAATAACACATTGCTCTAAATTATTTAGAAAATGGGATGCTACAGTGAAGAAAAATTCTATGATTACTAAATTTTTGAATCCGAATACTCTTAACAACTCCACAAAGCAATATATGAATGATGAAAAAGTGTATATGGTTCCTCTGCCAAACTTTACAGCCTATCCACCAAACGTTAATAATCATCCACAAGGATTAATCACAACCTTATGGAAATTTATAAAGATCATGATTTATCCAAGAAGCCGTGTAATCACTAAGGATAAATATTCTCCTTTCTTGCATGTAATTGATAATGAAAATGACACGAGGATGTATAATTGTCCGTCAATAATCGCGGCAACTGAGTTCAAATGGGCATCTGCAAGAAAACACTTTCTTAGACATTTTGTGATGTATCTTATCTTTGTAATCTCATTTGCAATTAGTGCAGGCGACTTTACCAGCCGAAAGTTAGCGAGGAGCATTACATTTGAATCACATAAAAGCGTAGCTTTGTGGGCCAACGTTATTTCTCTTTACATTGGATATCACTTATTTGTATCAGAATTAATACAATTAAAGAGAGAACTTAGTAGATATGCAAATATTTTTAATTTTTTTGATTTGATCTCGGTTATACTGCCAATTGGTATTATTATTGTTTTAAGATTTTCGAAATACAGTGACGAAGCAATGACTCAGAATTATACCTTTCAGATCGCCACAGCCTTTACTATGTTAATAATGTACTTTCAATTGGTAATTCTCTATCATTCATTATAAATATTGTATTTTTAATATTATACGCATTTACGTGGTATAAATAATTAAAAATGGTCTCTTTATTTCTTTCTTTCATAGTTGTCGTTATTAAGATACTTTAGAGCTCCAGGACATTACGTTTATATCATTACTAGCATTTTGAATAGAATCTGGCCATTTTTTGCATTTATGTTAATCGTAATCTTTGGATTCGGTCATGCTATGTAAGTTTCAATGAAAATATACCAATTATATAATTATCTATTTAATTATTTATATATATCAGATATACTTATTTATTATAATTTACATTATATTATTTTTAGGTACATTTTATTAAGTGATCCGACAGAGGATCCTGTGGCATCTCAATTTTCAGTTGATTCCTACCTAATAAAAAATGCCTCAAATCTTACACAAAATCTTTTTCCTAATATTACAATTCAACATAATGTAGATCCAACAACTCGTTCAGACAATTATTTTTCAACTTTTGCTTCATCAGTTGAAGCAGTATATTTTTGGACTAATGGAAGATGGGATCAACTAAGCAATTGGGATAGTACTGCAGTAGATATTATGAGTATTTTAGGAAGTTTAATTTTAGTTTTGATTTTTCAAAACTTACTAATTTCATTTATGAAGTACGTAATAATAAAAATTTATATAATCATTTATTTGAATTTAAAATGCATTTATTAAATGTATTAATTAAATATATTACCTAAATGCATTTAAACATGTTAATTTATTTTTAAATTACTAAAATACTTACATGAATCTTCTAGTGGCGCATTCACAGAAGCTGACATGACAGGTAAATACGCTGCTCGAAAATATAGGGCTGAAATGATTTGTGATTATGAAACTTTAGAAAAACCATTGGACAGTAAAAGAGGAAATCCTCGGTACATTTATTACATTGCCAATAGTGATTTTATTGATAAATGGTTAAACGAAAACAAGGCTTATCAACAAAAAAGTTGGTCAGCCCATACCGACAGTGATGATGATAAAATATTCGATGATAGTGATAGTGATGGTGACGATGAAAATGACGGTACCATAAATGATAAAAGCTCTGATATTAAAAAAAGGGACATTCCAGATGGTTCAAGCGATTTTTGTGGGTCTTATAAGATGAATGGCAGTTATTATTTGCATGATGAAGAAAATTATAAATCAATATCTACAGCAACTTTGAAGGACTCATTATCAAAGAAATCCCATCTAAAAGAGAATAATGACGAGAATTCAAGATCAATTAACTTTAATGATACAATTGTCACATCACATTCAGGTCCACAATTACCCATTCTTATTGATGATAATCTAGATATGAGTGAACAAGTAGAAAAAATAAGCAAGCGACTTAAAATTTTGGAAGAGGGAACGGGTGATAAAGATAAAAATAAGAATAGGGAGTTTGAGAACAGATTCAAGGCGTTGGAACGAAATATTAACACCATTTTAGTTAAGCTTAACAAGTTATCCAATTGAAAATGTCATTATTCATTTTATTGTTAGTATTGTACTAAATTTGTCTTCACAGTTAAATAAAAAACATATTTTTATGTGTGGCATATCTGTGTTAAAACAAGAAATGAACGTACATAATTAACCTCAAAGCAGTGTTCAAAATCGATTTTTAATCGAAAGTAAAATTCTGGATAAAAATCAATTTTGAAATTTGAAAATTGACTAGTTGTTTTCCGAACAAGGATATTAAAAAGTGATTTTGGGATGTAAGTATAATTATTAGATGAACCTTTTTTGTGTGGTGACAAAGACGAATTCTGATCTGATTTGTTTTTTAAGTAATAATTGCTGTAAAATTAAAGTAATAAACCGTGTCATTGTTAGGATTAGAACCAAAAACTTAGCGCCTATTACTATTAGTAAAATTTCGCGAGAACGAGGTTTATCCTTTACGTTATATCTGATATTGACAAAATTACAGGGATGAAGTCCTTACAAATTTGCATTTAGGAAAGTTTGATTGTATAGATGGACTATTAAAAAAATTAACGAAATAAGCAATCATCTTATAATCACAGTACTGTAATTCAAAAAGAATAATAATATATTTATAACTAAACTTCTTTATTTCTATAGACGCAGAAATACAATCCTTCACTCCCCACAACTTAACTGCGTCTCTTGTTACAATTTAATTTAATTATATATATATACATTTAATAAAAAAAACTTTGTTCAATTATAAATAGTTATAAACGCAGAAATACAATTCTTCACTCCCTGTAACTTAATTGCGCTTCTAATTTCAATTTTTATATATACATTTAATAAAAAATTTTGTTCAATTATAAATATTAAACCGCAGAAATACTATCCTTCACTCCCCGCAACTTAGCTGCATCTCTATTCACAATCTAATTTTAATATTCGCAATCTAGTTTTAATTTTTAGATATGCATTTAGTAAAAAAATTGTTCATTTATAAATTATTATAAATAAATCTTCAATATTGTAAAATAATTTATACTTACAGCCTAATAATTTAATTTTAATTTATATATAATCGATTAGAAAAAATTTTATTTAATAGTAAATTATTATAAAGTGTTTCTTATAGAAAATTCTATACTTACATTCTAATAATTTGATTTATGTGTGATTAAGTAGAGATTTCGTTTAATTATAAATTATAGGTCTTTATAGCGCTTTTCAAATTACTTGACCCTGATGATCCATTACAAAAGAAATCCGAAATATTTTTGATTGTCTTAAAATAAAAATTCTCAAGATTTCTCATTATATTTCGATGTAGTATTACTGGTAGCTCGTTTGGCAAAACGATATCAAAATTCGGATTTCATTATTATCGGGGCCAACAATTTGAAAAGCGCGATAATTTATAAATCAGCCTTATACTCACTGCCTAATAATTCATGTATTGTTAGTTAGAGAATGCTTTTTAATTATAGATTGTTATAAAGTTTCTAAATTATAAATAATTTCTATACTCACAATCTGATTGTTTAATTTATATACAATTAATTAGAAAGTTTCTTCTAATTATAAAAGTTTTTAATTTCTAAATTTATACTCACATTCTTATAATTTAATTGTAAATAAATGATTAGAGAATTTTTCTTTAATTGTGAAGTTTTCAATTTAAAATTAATTTCATACTTACTGTCTAATAAATTTATTTACACAAAATTATTATTATATATTAAGATTTTGGTTTGTTAAATAAGTTTATACTTACATTCTACGTAATATTTATTTATTTATATATAATTAATAAAATTAAGAGTTATTTAATTATGAATAAAGATTTTTAATTTGTAAAACAATTTACACTCACCATCTAATAATTTAATCCACATATTCGGTTAGAAAAATATTATAAAATTTTTTTTCAATTTATAAATTAATTTGACACTCACTTGTCGCTAATAATTTATTATATAAATTAGATAAGTTTAATCGTAGATTAATATAAACTTACTGAAATTTGCAAAATTAAGTAGTAGGCGTATTGCTAATATTTAGTAACAATAAAATAATTATATAGTAATTTGAAACTAAAAAAATTAACATTTGTAGGCGTATTGCTAACATATATTTAATATAAAGAAAATTTCTATTGCCAAGTAACTATATAATTACTTTATAGTTAATTGCATTGCAAATTTCAGTAAAGAAGTTTTCAATTTTATACCCACCATCTGATAATTTAATTCATATAATTTATTAGAAAAGTTTATTTAATTATAAAATTCCAATTTGTAAAATAATTTTATACTCACGATCTATACATTCAATTTATACTTAATTTTACTTAATTTTAGAAAATATAGAATTCTATTTTTATAAATTAATTTTATACTCACGGCCTGATAATTTATGCATATAATTGATTATCGAAATCTATTTAATTATAAAATTTTCAATTTATAAAATAATTTATACTCACAATCTTATAATTTAATTTATATATAATTGATTAGAAAAATTTTGGTTAATTATAGATTATTTTAAAATTTTCAATTTATAAATAATTAATACTCACAATCTAATAATTTGAGTTAGACACGATTAGAGAAGTTTCATTTAATAATATATTATTATGAAGTGTTAATTGTAAGATAATTTAACTCACCCCCTAATAATTTAATTCATATATAAATGATTAGAATTTTATCTGATTATGGTTAATTTTAAATTTTCAATTTATAAAATTAACTTTTTACTCACAAGCTAATAATTAGAGAAAGTTTATTTAATTATGGATTATTAAAAAGTTTTCAATTTGTAAAACGATTTATACTCACTCACTAATCATTCGATTTATATACAATTGATTAGAGAAGTTTTGTTTAATTATAGATAAAAAAATTTTACGAAGAAATTTATACTCACAGCCTAATAATTTATATTTGATTAGATAGATTTTATTTAGATATTATTTAAATTTTCATTTGCAAATTAATTTTATGCTTACCGACTAATAATTAATTTTGATTAGAGAATTTTATTTAATTAAAGATTATTATAAATTCCAATTTATAAATAAATTATACTCACGATCTAATATTTGAGTTTGATACAATTGATTATTAGAGAAGTTTCATTTAATCATAAATTATTATAAAGTGTTAATTGTAAGGTAATTTATACACACCAGCTAATAATTAATACATATATATTGATTAGAGTTTTTATTTGACTGGTTAATTTTAAATTTTAAATTTATAAAATTAACTTATACTTACCACCTAACAATTTAGTTTATATATTATTAGGGAAGGTTTAATTATAGATTATTATAGAATTTTAATGGTAAAATATTATACTCACATTCTAATAGTTTAATTTGTTATAATTGATTAACGAAATTTATTAGAAAACTTTCAATTTACTGCACAAATCAATTTATACTCACTATCTATAATTTAGTGTTTAAAAAGATTTATTTAACTATATAGATTATTGTAAGTTTTCAATTTATTAATTTTATACTTACCGACTAATAATATAATTTATAAATAATCGATTAGAGCTTTTTATTTAATTACTAATTTTAAAATTCCAATTTATAAAATTAACTTTATACTCACTGCCTAATAATTTATACAGAATTGATTAGCAAAGTTTATTTAATCTTAAAGTTTTTGATTGGTAAAATTATCAATACTCACATACTAATAATTTAATTTGTATATAATAGATTAGAGCGATTTGTTTAGTTATATATCATTATAAAGATTTAAATTCACAATGCTACATTTACCGTCTAATGGTTTAATTTGTATAAGATTAATTATAGAGGTTTTGTATTATCGAAGGTTTTTAAATTATAAATCTATTTTATGCTTACATGCTAATAATTTGTATATAATTAATTAGAAAATCTTTATTATAGACGATAAATTATAAAAGTATTATCATATCTATAAATTAATTATATTACTTACGACCTAAGATAGGAATATAAATTAAATATTATTGATTAGAGAAATTTTACTTAATAATAGATTATTATAAGGTATTCAATTATTTATTTCATACTCACCCTCTGATAATTTAATCCATATATGATTGATTAGAAACGTTTTATTTGTATAATGAAAAATTTCCATTTGTAAAATGATTTTATACTCACCAACTATTAATATAATTTAAAATAATTTGGAAAAGTTTTTTTTTAATTATAGATTATTATGAAGCTTTACAGTAATTTGTAAAACAATTTACACTCACCAACTAATAATTTAATTTATATATAATTAATTAGTAAAGGTTTATTTAATCATTGACATTATAAATTAATCTAATACTCACTGCCTAATTATTTAATTATATATAATCGATTAGGAAAGTTTTATTCATTTATAGATAATTATAAATTAATTATTTAATTATGTATAATCGATTAGGAAAGTTTTATTCATAAATTAATTTTGCACTCGCCGACTATAATTGATTAGGAAAGTTTAATAATAAATAATTATAAGTTCTAGATCTGCAAAATATTTTATACTACTTACCATCTAATAATTTAATTTTATATAGTTAGAAATTTATTTAATTAGATAATTATAACTAAAATAATTTTATACTTACAGTCTATAATACAATTGATTAACGAAGTTTGTTCAATTATAAAAGTTTTTAATTTAATTCAATTTATACTCACAATCTAATAATTTTAATTTATAAATAATTTATTAGAAAAGTTTTATTTAATTACAGATTATTTATAAAGTCTTCAATTATAATTTAATTTTACACATACCGCCTATAATTTAAATAATTGATAATTTTTTGTACAAAATAATAAATATATTTATGATTTCGTTTTTATTATTTTAAAATTAATTTTATTTAATACCTCTTTTCATTTGAGCAATTGCTAATTGAACAATTAAAATCAAGATTGATAAAATTTTTACAAGTTGCATTGTTTTTTTTTTTGATTTTGAAAGAAAATTTGGTTGTTAACGGTAAACTATTTTTCTTTTCAAAAA